AATACTGCACGAATTCATTGTATATACCACAGAATTGAGAAAAATAAGGGAAGAGGTGGGTCAAAGCAGACGAAGATGTTGAAGTGTGGCAGAGATCAAGCTGCATTATATACATAACTGCTTTTGTTAAATGGCAAAAAATTCAATACATAATTTAAGAATTAAGAAAAATGAGAGAAGGGTAGGTTGGGAGGGGCAGGTGAGAATGTTGAAAGAGGCAACATTGATCAAGATGCACTGTTTTTTTTATAAAATTTTGTTGAATGGTAACTCCTTTGTACAACTATTTAAAGATAACAAGAATATTCAGAAAAGAATTTAAAAAGACCAATTCTCAAAGGGAAGACTCCTGCTTGTTTCTCTGCTCTGTTTCTGAAGCACCGTGCACTGTATCCCTTCCATAACTGCATGTCAGGAAATCTTTAGTAAATGAAGAAAAACAAGACAACATGGAAGAAATATTTTAGATTTTTATTTGGCTTTTATTGTGTTCCAAACAAAGATTGAAGTGTAGCGAAAGAGTCAGATAAAATAAATAAAATATCAAAGAAAGATACTGTAGTGACCAATAAATGAAGTAAGAGCATTTGGATCAAGCATTTGCAGAAGATAAGTAACATTCAATTGTATACATCATAAAGAGGCAAATTATTTATAAAGGAGATCACACTGTTAGTTTTCCTAAATCAATCTTGAGTATTCATTGCATATAATAAGTAAAAACATAATGTTTTACTAAAACCCACCTGTACAAATTTAAAATCAGTGAAAATTTCTGCCCAAGCTGTTTCTTAAAAACAGCTGTTTTCCCTACTCTGGTGCAGTCTAAGTTGTCTAAATTCTGGCCATCTTAGTTTTCTCTTTGAAGCCCCAGTGCATGTACATGGCTAGGCAAACATTCTATCACTAAGCTATATTCCTAGTACTTATTTTTCCAAAGATCATCACACATAATCTTTTCCTTGATGGCTTTTCTGCCTTTGAAGTCAGAAATGTCATCGGTCTTTCTGAGTTTTGCTCAGATGCTTTACTTTCCCAGGTAGCTCTGCTCCTGTTAGTAGTTGTATTCTTTCTCTCCTGGTAAAGTGCAAATTTCGTCTAAGCATGGAGATCTTGCTTAGTGATGTGTGCAGAAGTACTAAATTCATATTGGATAACAACAATGCCAAAAGACTGAATGACCTCACTTAATAGAAGAGAATATCCATATAGTTTAGGAAATAGATATGCTTATTACATCAGGTTTCATATCAACTTTGAACTATGACTCTCCTTATAGAAAACAGTGAAACACATTTATGTGTACCCATCGCATAGCTCACAAAGATGTATTTTCAATTTGAGAATAAATTTGTTGATACCTTCAAAACTTTTTATCCATGAAACTTTCTGAAGTCCCCCTGAGATCTCCAAATGGCTACTGTATCCGTTCTGTCATCTTGTTTTCTCGCTAATATTTTTGAACACATTGTCTTCTTTTTCATTAAAATACTGGTACTCTTTTTGTATACTGCTAGGAACATGAGTTTCCTATTGTAGAACATTTTAATTTATCCTATTAACAATTCAGTCAAGTGCACCTTCTATATAATCCTTGTTCAGTTTCCTTTTAAATTTTGTTGTCTCTGAACTGTATTGGTAACAGTTGTACACAAGTAGTGGAGTATTCTCTGTGTGGTAATAGGATTAAAAAAACACAATTAGTATCTCATAAGTCTAAATCTTTTGAATTGACCAAATCAATTAGTAGTTTGCTTTTCTTTTATTATATATGCTGTGTGGCTTAAAGATGCCTTTGGTGGTGTGTGTGTGTGTGTGTGTGTGTGTGTGTGTGTGTGTGTGTGTGTGCGTGCGTGCTTATTACACTGACACTACTGGACTGATCCTTTGGTAAAATTTTCCTTCAAGCCACAAGATTGTACATTTTTGTGTAGGTGATGGCCAATAAAAAAATAAGTATTTTCTTTGGCACTTTTCAAACTCTGTCTCTATTTCTACCCTTTTTCTTGTTCTTGTGGCTTGCTTTTGCATTGTTCTTTTCTCCTGTTAAAGTATGGTAGTAAGGCTCACTCCTCTCCATTGATTTCTAATGCCTGTTGAGTGTACGTGAACGAGAGTTGGGGAGAATAGACTTTTCCATCTAACTGAAAATAAAAGGAACATCGAAGCTTACTGAGTCCGAGTTGTAAAGAAGGAGAGAGAAGATAGGAGAATAATGGAGAGGGACTATGATCAGATACATCAATATAGATTTGTTAAAAAGAAATCTTGTTACTAAAAAGAAATTTAAAACTATGATACATATACCATAAAAAGTAGAGAGTGAGGGGAAGTAACAGAACATGATTGGAGAAGAAAGTAGGATTTGCATTATGAAAGACTTGACATTGACAGTGTCGTTGAATTTTGGAATGTAGAGGCTATTTTATATCACTTTAACCAGGTAGATAGTAGGTCATTTAGGAGGAATGATAAAGGTAAGTATGGTGACAGAGATCAGGTAAATGGTATTGTAGTAGTCTAGGTTAGTTTCTTTTACCAGAAAGAAAAATACATTTGCTACTATGGCCTAGGGGAAAAGAGTATGGCTTTTTTTTATTTGACAGTCCTGTGGCCTGGGCATGGTCTCTAAGCTTTTTGTTCAACATTAGTACTCTACCACTTGAGCCACAGGTGCACTTCTGGGTTTTGGTCTGCCAGGCAGAAGCTGTGGAGCTGTGGCTCAAAGTGGGGTAGAGTGCTGTGAAGCTCAGGAATGGCACTAAGGCCCTGAGTTCAAGCCCATGACTGACCAAAAGAGAGAGAGAGAGAGAGAGAGCAATTAAACCCTCTCTAGGGAAAGAGACAATGTAGGCTTAAGGAAAAGAGCAATGAACACTATCACATGCCTTAAATAAAGTAAAATCTTCTGAATTCATTCACTAGGAAGCCAGTCAGTACTTGATTAGGGTCAGAAGTACCTGTAGCGAGTTGAAATAAAAATGGAAAGTGATCACAGTTTGCAGACAAATCTTATTTTTCAGGTTAACTTTAAATTGTAGAGAATAGAGATGGCAGTGTGCAGACTGGGGGTCATTTAAGCTGAGTATGACTTACTCAGCATGCTGAAACAACTTAGGACCTGCTAGGTATGCTGAATAGATCAAGGTTCAGAAGAAATAGAGCACATCTGGCCTGCGGAGCTTAAAGTTATGTGTTGACTCTTATCTGAAATTGGAAAGATAGGAAGAATCAAGACAGTCCTAAGACCTGCTTCTCTACCTTCTCTCTCCTAGGAGTGTAGTTTTTCTCTGTGTCTGCTCAATGCTCTTTTTGTCGATTTCTTTGTTGAGTGCTGATCTTGTTGCTTCTCCTCCCCTCTCTCTGCCCAGAAATATGGACAGCTTAGCTCTTTTCCCTATATCTATATCTGGCTAGACTGTCATAAAAACTAGGCTAGCATGTTTTAACTTTCCCAGTAAATAACCTCTTACACAGACTGCCGCAACCTCCTGGTTCTTCAACTGGAACAACTGTAAATCATTCTATTTAACATATTTTCTAGCTTTTAACAGAACTATTTGGGCTTCTAAGAAAGTATCAATAATTGGCTTGTGTATTTACATGCACACAAATGTAATGAATATATCTTAAATAGGAAACTTGGATGGTAAGAAATAAGCAAATTGACACACCACCTGGACCAACTCCGGAGCTGGTAAAAATAAAATCCCTTGGGGTTTTAGCCTTGGATTATGTAAGGAGCTAAATTTTTGTCGGTGTGTATCTTGTGTGTCACTTGCCTATATTGTGCAATCTGTGTCTAAGGAGGCACACAGTGGCATGCATTAATCTTATGCCTCTGATTATCTATTTTGAAGTCATTACCACTTTTCTAAAGCTTCTGTATGGAAGCATTTTATGCACACTAAAATTAATTCATCACTTATTTCACTCTGAAATATTATCATGAAAGTTGGAAAATTTACTCTTTAGAAACTCTTATTGCCAGGTAAGTTCATTTGAGGAAATGAATTACCTAAAATGTAATTATTCCTTTCCAAAGAACTTAGCCATTGCCAGTCTCTTAATATCATGCCTTCACTTTCACTGCTGAGTTCAGTGTGCCTTCTTATACGAAGTACCACTAAGTACACTACGTTACACACTAAACAGAACAAGCAGTCAGTGATAAGGATAAAATGCAAGACTTATTGAAGTTGAATAATAATTAGAAGGCAGAGATGGCAAAGAAACAGTGATAGAAAGTGAAGTGACTGTCACCAGTCAATGAAGAAATAAGCAAACCATGAAGCTGTACTTGAGCTATTTTTTTTTTTTTTACTGTTAGCTTCACAATTGCTGTGCATAGCGCTTGCAATGCTAAGGAAATGGGGCTACTTCTTGGAATGTCAGACAGTGCTTTACGTGAGGATGACCAGTTAGATGACCACTTAAAATAACAATGAACGGTTTGATCCACTGGGTCATGCCTGTAATACCAGCAAGGTGGGAGACAAAGAGAGAAGGAACCTAGTTCAAAGCCAAGCGCAGTGAAGTTAGTGGGAGACTGTTGCAAAGAACAAGCCTGCCATCATGTCTTGTCTCAGTCATCCCAGCTCCATGGGATGTAGAAACAGTAGAATCACACTATTAAGATTGTCCTACGTGACAAAAAAAACCTGCAAGAACTTAGGTGGAAAAAAACTACAGCAAAAAGGGGTTGAAGGTATGTCTCTAATGTGCTTACCTAACAAAGGTAAAGCCCTGAGTTCAAAGACCATCATTACCCCCTCTTCCTCAGAATAATGAAATGAAAGAAATGAGCAAATGAAGGTAGGGTGTATAATAATGGACTGCTTCGTGTTTAGTCACAAGAACACATTGTTAAACACAACTGAAAAATAACTTCTATAACTATTCTTCACTTTTGATTTTAGGTATCAAATGGTATTTAGAAGCCATTTCCAATGCTGTGTCATCTTCCTAAATGGTTCCTGTCTCTGTGCTTTCTGTTTTAGCTATGAAGATGGCCAAGTGGGAGATGCAAATATTAACACACAAGAAGGAGGCATTCACAGAGAGATCCTCCGCGTAATTGGTAATCAGACCGCCACTGGCTAAAGGACCACCATGTAATTAACAGGATGGAAAGCCTTCCTCGGGTTCAAAGCTGGATTTTGAACTGAAGAAGATGATAAAAATAAGTTATTGTTATTATAAACAAAACTTACCCTTTGAATACTGATTTTTCTTAGTATTTCTAAGTATCTCATTATATACCTAAAAAAGGTATACAATTTCTTGATTGTAGGCTTATGGGATCTAGAAATAAAATTAAAGCAGCACTTAAATTGAAGTTTCAGTTGCATACACAAATAAACAGATTGAAAAAACGGTATTGTGCTGATATTTTTATATTAAATTCTATAATTGGACATTTGGTATTCCATTCTGACATTCTAAGCTAATGAAATTGAATTGAGAATATTTTATAATGGCCTCTAAATCTATCAGATATTTTACAATAAGTGTAATATCTCCATATCCAGTGGTGTGAACATCCAAATGAGGAGGAATACTTTATATTCTCTTGTTTTCCATATTAAAAATTTCAATGGGGGGCCTAGAAGCAGTCTTTGCCACAAAGTATGTTATACCCATTTGTATGGATTCATGCATGGGAGCTTGAGGATGTGTGTTTGTACACGTGTGTGTATAGTCACAGAGCTCTACCATTCTAACAAAGAAAAGAAGATAATAATAAACAGCAAATCTGGACATAAGCCAAGATATGAGCCAAATATATCACTAAAAATATTTGCAGACAAGTTTTCAATTGGTTTAAAGAAATACCTCGGTTCAAATTGAACTCTTTTCAAATCTTATCTCTGAGTCATAATTTGGGAACATGGATGCCTCTAGTGGACTAATTCTGTAGTTAGATGATCATATATTTAAAAGAACCCACTAAGAATCGAAAGACACAATGTGCAATTTTCATTTCCCACAAAGAAGCATTTAAAATTTTATTTGTACCACACCAGCATTTTTATATTTTTTTTCATCTGATATCTCTGCTTATTTTTTTCATATTGAGAAAGAAGACAAACCTTGGAACTTCTTTTATATTAAAAGAACACAAATAAGTTGATAGAGAACAATAACACCAGCTCTCAGCCTTTTCCTTTGATGAAAATCCTTTCTGTTTCTTTGAGTTCTCGTGTTCGTATTCATCTCAAGTTTTAACTGACTGTTTATTTCCCTATGTGATGGATGTCTCTGGAATCAGGCAGTTCATGAAAGTAGTTTAATTAGTGAGTCTGCCACTATTCAAACTCTGAATCAAGGCTCATATCTGATTTTAATTTATGTAGAAAGAAAAAAATATAAATGTGTAGTCATTTGCAAGTATAATGTGATAACTCCTGTGTTTATTTCCTTTGTCTGGCATAAAAGGTGAGAGAAAGGTTATACAGAGTGTCAAGGATTATAGTTTAGGAAGTTTTTACTAAACGTTTGTTTTTCTTACAATGTAAATAATTGATATGCCACTTATTTCTGCAAGAAAAATAGTTTTGAGGAGACTAAAATACAGATCATTTCAGTAATTATCTACGTAAACTATTGGTCTGTTTTGACTTGGTGCCTCTGAACTCAGGGCCAGAATTACATTTGTATGGTAAGGTTACATTAGCAGTCCATGACCCAGATATCTGAAGATTTTGTGGGGGCTAAAAATTAGCATCTGCTTCTTTCTGCCATGTCTTTTAAATCATTCTATGTTTTAGAAAACATTTAGGCATGACCTTTACCCCCAATTTTATACATGTATACATTCTAGACATGCCCTAAAAATGAAGATATAATGCCAGGATTTGGAGAAGGATGCTAGTATAATACCAACTAGGATCATTGAGTTACTTCCAGAAATTCTGTGGGTTACTTCCCACTCTGCCTCCCGCTAACCTAATTCATAATGGCTTTACTTGACAGTGCAGTGATCTGTAAGTAATGACTCCAATGTAAATTGGAAGGTAACTTGGAGTATTACAAAAGGGAAAGTGTTTGAGGATGGACAGCCAGCATAATGAAAACTTCTGCCAATTGAAGGATATGAGTAGACTCACGTACTTGAGGAAAGAGAGGAGCTGTTAGGTTAAGTCTCATTAAATAGATCAAAGCAATGGATGCATTTTATTACACTTAAACAAGATATCTTGTAAGGATCGATTTGGTTGTCTTCAAGTACACAGTGACAAAATTTGTTTACGAAAACTGACAAAAGCTTTTGTAAGGAATTACTCAAAAAAAAAAAGAACCAACATTTTAATTGAATTTTTGAAATTGGAAATACTATTATATACTAATGTAGGTGCTTATCTCAATTTCTAAAGGGTTTTATCTTAATAGCATGAGTTAGTTAACTGATATAGGTTCTTAAAATTTCAAGATTACTATTATGCCTTGATTCAGTCATCCCATTAAGATGTTTACTCTTGACTTATTTGATAATTCCAAACACTTGTTATTGTATTTTAATAAGCATTGGAAATCTTTTCACTGATGTTTTGTAACAATTAGTCCTGTCACCATCACTATTAACATATTAACTCACTGAGCAAAGGCAATCATTTTCATCCATGAAATAGAGGAAGAATTCTAATTTATCAGTTTTTTCCACCAATTATTGATTTTGTAAATACTCTCCTACAAGTAATATCATCTTTTACTGGATTTAAAAAAGGGAATAAAATAATTGAACGAGAAGAGAAAAAGTATAGTATAAAAATAATATACTGCTATAGGATGGTTGGTGATAAGGTACCTTTGTGCCTTAGAATGAATTTTGTTGGAATTAGTCCTATTTTTCTTGCTCACTCAATCTCAATCATATGTTCGATTCAAAAGTGAGTTGTATTTTCTTTTGTTGTTTTGTTTTGAGTTTTTTTTTGTTTCTATCCTAACTTATGTAGTGTAAAAAATGGACCCAAAGTGCTATTGATGTTTCTCATGGAAAATTTTAAGAACTTAGAAAAGAAATTCCTCATTTTTTCTCCTTTGCTTAAAGAAAACCTTTCATATGCAGGTCTATGAATCTTTAGTACCACTGAAAGGATTTATATAATATTTTAATAAGCATAAAGTATTAGGACATGGAGCTTCTGAAAGTCTTTAAGGAATACTTCTGTTCTTTGTGAAAAAGTGTGAATAAGTTCCAACACATAGTGACTTAATTTGTCATTAAGGGTCACTGAACTTTGTTTCAATTATCATCTAAATTTAAATGTGGATTTCATGGTGTGACATTTGAAGCACATTTCCAAATATTATGATGTTCAATTGTCCTGTTAACTTCTTCATTATGACACTACCTCAAGACCAATGATAGACTGCTAATGAAGGTATAAGGAAGTATAAGGAAGAAATATTTTGTAAGTAGAAATCATCAAATAATTCTACTTTTAGAACCAGGCTGGATATAGATATTGTTAGCTACTTCTTAACTCTGCAGCAACATGGATGTTTTAGTCACGAGTAATAAATGGTGTGGTTAAGCACCCAATGAGTTAAATTTTGAGTCAAGTGGCTTACTTGAAATGCATTGGTTCCTTTTAATACTGACTTTCCTCATGGGCCAAATTTATGTCCATTCACCAAAAGCCACAAACAGTTGCCCACTCTGTGGAGTTGAAGGGTTGAAAAGCAACTTGTTAGGCCAGAATGGCAGACAGAATAAGTATTTGGATATTAAATACCTGCTAAATTTTTGTCACATGATATATGGATTTGATGTATATTATTATTCAGTAAAATCTTTTCTTGGGGATTTTGTACACCTTATGAAATAATAGGATAAGTTTTTGTAGGCCAAAAATATTTCAAGTAGTTTCTAGACAAAACATATCCAGGAGTGTGAAAAAGCTGTGTTGAAGAGTAGATTACATTACACGTTTACCAGCAAGTAATAACTAGTGCTTATTTACAGAGTCAACATAACTTAATGTCTAAAAGTAATTTCTTCAGTCTGCCCAATATTTAATGTATCATTTGAGATTTTAAAAAACGCAGCCACTTCTTTATGTCAACATTAAGATACGCCTGTTTCTTCAACTACACACCTTTACAATAAATTTCTTGACTTTTGTGCACAAAATAGTATTGCAACCTGCTATTTAGCCTTTGGTGCCTTAGAGTTATTATAAATATTTAACAATATGTACATAATGTAAATACTGCCAAGATCACTAAGGCCAAATATTTTCTCTATTCACTTTTTATTGCACCTGCTTTCTATTGCTACTTAAGCCTCTTTTATCCAGCTTTGTAATAGTTCTAACATTGTAGCCAATGTAAATGTTTACTTTCAATAAATCTGACTTTGTTCAAACAAATGGTATATGTGGGCACTATTTTGAAGATTTGGGTAGGCCTTAGCTGTTCTTGATGACTTCTGCTTCTGGGGACTACACCATTTTGGAAGGACTGAACACACTCTGAAACTGGCTTTTCCCTTTTCACATATACTTTTAAGTAAAGAGGGGGAAAAATGAAAAGCTCTCACCACTATTCCCCATATACTTGCAATAGGCTTAATTGGTCATGAGAGTGCTATTTTAATTTCAGATTCTACCAAGAACTATGAAAGATTGTAGCAGAAGAATTTTGAGCATTTAAAAAAATCTGTTTAAAATGGGCAAAATTTCAAAATGAGATTTTCAAGTGAACTGTACTGAATTTTCTACACACTTCTGGCCTGATTGATAATTGGGAAATGATTTTAGAGCACCATTTATTTATTTGTTTTACAAAATACAGCTCTTGAACTTAATAAGACTCCATAAATAAATACAGTCCTCTCAAAATACTAATAATAAACCTTTTGAGGAGCTAAGTTTATATTCTCAAGTATTTTCTTTTCTCAGAACACATTATAGCTGAGGCACTTACATAGAAGGCTTCCGTTGAGTAATGCTGGTATCATGACCTTAGGAACCTAGTATCAGTGACTTAGGAACCCTGTTCCTAACACCCTGGGTGTTAGATTTTGTGCTGCTCTTAAGGGCTTTCAATTTATTTGTGAGACAAACAGGTCTTGAACTCATTCAAGAACAGCACACATGTGTAAAAAAGAGACATGCAAGCAACTTTGATCCACATTGGTGGGCAAAGTACCCTGGAAGACCACCATCCGTTAATGGTTTTCCATGACTGCCAGCGGTGAAAGGAAAATTGACACAAGGAATATAGCTCTAAAAATAATGAAGATTTTGAGTGATTTACAGAAGCATAGTTTTTGCATTCAAGGGAATAACAGACTCCCAATGATAACTTGAATTGTCATATTTGTACTAGCTTGTTAAATTGGTAGTCATACTTAATTTCCATAATCAAAC